GAGGGCAGTGTCACTGGCCCTCATATGTGGGATCCGAACCGGGGCCCTCTGGCATCCCAAGCCAGCTTTTAACCATTGCGCCACTTGGCCGGCCCTGGCATAGACTTTTAAAACTTCATTACTAATATAAGGAGTCCTTTAGTCTTAAAATCTAAATAACCAGCTACTTTTTATAGTGTGTTTTACACATATCTCATATGACATTCCTTCACTGAAAAGGAGAAACACCCTTCTTATTTAGCCTTAATATCAAAATAATACAACAAAATAGCATATAAAGCTTCTGTGAGAGTCCTCTAACTTCTCTTTTGAATTTCTTTGTATTAAGCTTTTTTTTAAAGTTTATAAAGATTTGGCTTCAAGTTTTTAAAAGAACTTTAACTTTTTCACAATTTATGTATAGATGACTGTAATATGAATGTGAATATTTCATTTGTAAAACACACTTAACAATGGTAAAGGGATTTAACTTGACATAGATCATAATCACTTGGATTTTATGGCTTATGTAGTTATTTTATGTTTATTTTATTTTTTGGATGAGTTGACATCTATATACATTTTCAGATACTGAATAACTGGGTATAATTATAAAGGATATTTGCTGAGTCCACGAGTCACATTATAAAAACAGTGTAATTATATTCTAATTTCTTTAAGGGCTCAATGTAAGTAAGATATATAATCAAGAATAAACATTAAAAAAATCACCAATTAATCAACTCACCTACCCAAAACACTTTACTCTATAGTCAATGGAATTTACTTAATACTCACAAGCTAATATTTAACACAGAAAAAGAAAAATCAAGGTTAAACTTCTTACAGTGCTGAACAGTAGTACAGCAGTTGCCTAACTAGCTGATAAAAGTATTCTATTTTGTTTGAGAGATAATAGCCTTAAAAGAGGGGGAATTCATGAGACTACCATGGCTTTCTGAAAATATCTGTGAAGATTCTTTTTATTTACCAAGACATTTAATTATTTAATTTCATTTCCCATAAAACTTTCTCTACATAGAAAACAGCATATTTACCCACTGACATGAATATTTCATTCCCCATGACAGTTACAGTCCTCACTGTAAATTAAGAAATTTATTTTGATTTACAAATTAGCCATCTAACAAGACCCAGCTTCCTAAACTCCTAAACTAGATAATTAGAATATAGGCCCGAGTCAATAACAGAGGCCCGACAATGCTCACATCTTAACAACTGACTAGACATTTAAAAAACAAATCACCTAAAACACACACACACACACACACACACACACACACACACACACACAAATATACTCACCTGAGGACCACCATATATGAACAGGACAGTGGGGTATTTCTTTCCAGGTTGTAGATCATGAGGTTTGTACAGCATCCCATACAATGTAAATCCAGTAGTACTTTCAAAAGAGAATATTTCTGGAGGAGTATAGTCAGGAAGAGGACCTGTGAGGAAATAACATAGAGTCTATAAGAGACGTTCTTATGGGAGCTCTACAATCTGAGAGCAAGAAAAAGATACCATAAACCCACACATACAAATAACTGACCATCCCCCTCTCAAGTCATAAGCAAGAACATTTATCTTTTTATAAAAGAAAATCTAATGAACGTATCAAATTATCTGTTTCAGAAACAGACACAATATTTTGAATAATCCCTGGAGTCCAGGAGGTAGTTACATACAGAACTATACAAACACTTTGTGCTTGGTTTGGTATAACTTATTTATGGTTAATACGTATACCTGATTAAGAACTGGAAGCACAAATTTAACTTAGTCAATTTAACTTGCTCATGGCATGTGCTCAATAAACATTTGTTTTTGATTATTAGAGAATAACCCCAACTAGAACACCCCAAAAAAGAAAGTCATGGTCAGTCTTTGTTTACCAAAGCTATACAGACCTATATTCTAAGTTTGTGTATACTGGAGTACATTACAGTCTAAGCGGAGATCATCACCATATTACAAATTCTGCTTGTGAACACCAGAATGTACCTCTATACCCTGTGGTTTTATGTGAATTTTTAATCCCTTAGCAGATATTTAACGCTTGACAATACCTAACAGGGAAAAAAACTGAGGGATAAAATGGATTAAAAGATTCATAAAATCAGTCTATTCTTTAAGAAATCAAGCATTTTAAAAATAGAAAATTCAGGGCCAGAAAATTCAGAGTGGCATGTTGGTTAAGAGCTGGCTTGGGATGCCAGAGGGCCCCGGTTCGGATCCCACATGAGGGCCAGTGACGCTGTCCTCTACAGCTAAGATGCTGAACAACAGCTCAACCTGGAGCTGGGTTGCCGTGAGTCACTGGCGACGGCATAGGCTGCAGCCCCTGCTGTAGTGGGTTGCCATGGGCTACCGTGTATGGCCAGCAGTCAGTGTGAGCGGCTCTCAAGCCGCTGTGATCGGCCTTCCAGAGGCCGGCGACTGATGTGCCTCGCCCGGGAAGAGCGCAATGATGGTGCCAACTTGGGCCAGTGAAGCAACGTCCTCCACAACTAGGCTGAAGAACAAAAGGACAGCAACTTGTCTGTTCCCCTTCCCCCAATTCCCCAGCACTGTTCCCATCCCCCAACTCCCCAATAAAAATCTTTAAGAAAAAAAAAAAAGAAAGAAAATTCACAGTGTTCTTTACTCCCATATAGAACACACGTTCTATCTGGCATTAAGATGGCCACTGCAAGTGCTTTAAAAGTTTAGGAAAGCTACCAGCTGGTTATTCCCTAAAGCTTCACTACTCAAAACGTATTACTAAGTTCAGGTTACATTATGTTCAAGTTCATTTGTTTATCTGGGATATCATCCAAACGTGTGAATAAATGGTTTCCTAGCTGATATACTATTTTAATGTTATTTTCAAAAAGGTCTTCCAGACCTGCTTCTGCCTGGAGTGGGAGGTAACCTGTATTATTTGGTTTTTAACAGAATGGAGGGGGTGGGATCAATCAGAAATAGAAACAGGCAGTGGTGAGAGATGGGAAGACTCTGTCTAGGAATTGTGGAAATATCACACAGGTTTAGTGTACTAATGTACTAATCCTACTTAAGATCAAGTTCAGGGAAATGAGTACCTGCTGAATCCAAAATGGTGGCCCAAAATTCCTTTGTTTTGCAAGTTGGGTCATCTTCAGGACTTGATAGCTTGTAAAGGGACACACAGTGTGGATTCTTCTGATTACTATACTTACTTATAAAGAAGTCACAATGCTAGGGAAAGGAGAAACAATTACTTTTTCCCCAGGTAAAAGTAACAAAGGTTATCTGCTACTACATCTGCACTGATGTTATATCAGTGCAGTGTAAGAGTCTGAACATTTATGTACATATACAATGCTGAAGTCAAGGCTAAGCTTTTTAAAGTTTCTCCTAAGACAATCAGACTTCTGCAGGCCAAATTCACTAACTTTCATATTACTCAAAAGGAATATTACATGAGCAGTGTCCCCCCCACCCCCCCCGGCAGGAAACCCTTTTCAAACAGGGACTTAATACCTGGCTGATGCAGCAAGAGTGGGAATAGCCACGGTCAGTCAGCCTCATCACTTCTCCAGGATTTACATAATTGACAACATACAGGTGATGTTCTAAAGGAGAGTCTTTGGTGCCTTCAAAATATACCAGCTTTCTGGCTTCATCAACCTGGATCTGCCAAAATAACAACATAAAAATCAGTGCTAGTATGGCCATGGTAAGGTCAGTAATTCAACCAACAATCCCCAATTTTATTCAGAGTCATTTGAGTCACCCTTTCTGCCTCTTTCTAAGTAAAAAATTCCACTAACGTTAATAAACCTGCTGGTTTTGTTTATGATTTATAGCTAAGAATAGATCCTGTCCAGAAGGAAAAAGGATACTGGAGTTGTACAATATTGGTAGAGTTTCCTATATGGTCAGAATGTGTGCTTTTCTTAAAATAGAAGAATTATTTCATTAAAATGGCAACTCTCTACAGGAAAAAAAAATAGGTACATTGCAGCTTAGGCCAACCATTCATGCATACTTAACAGTTTAATTTTCGTATCTTGTACATTTCTCAGTTAGCGCAGTATTATCTTAGGCAGTACTTTTTGGTCTTTTGTACAAAACTGCAAAAGTATTTTATGTATTGGGTTGGGGAATAATTGAATTCAATTGCAAGTAACCTCACAGATGAATTCACTAAATATTCTTCCCAAATCACAAGAGTCTAAACAAATGACTTTTATATTCGTCCTTTAAAAAAATATTTTACCAGCCTACTCAAACAATGTTTAATAAAATTCAAAATTTTTTACACACTAAAGAAAACACAGATACATTTCTAAAAGCAAGAATTTTTAAATGGACACATTTTCTTCAGGAAGCTTCTCCTTCATTAAACATTTTTTAGTATACATGGATACAAAAATAAACACAGTTGGGCCGGCCGAGTGGCGCGATGGTTAAGAACTGGCTTGGGATGCCAGAGAGCCCCAGTTCGGATCCCACATATGAGGGTGAGTTACACTGCCCTCCCCAGCGAAGATGCTGAACAACAGCTCAACCTGGAGCTGGGTTGCCATGAGTCGCCGGTGACGGCGTAGGCTGCAGCCCCTGTGGCAGTGGGTTGCCATGGGCT